CTGGGAACTCATGTTGAGTTTCTTGTCAGCTTATAAACCCCCGGTCTCACTTTGTCATTATCTAGCAGGGGGTTAAAAGTATTAGAAACATTCAAATTTTGTTAAAATTAGCTGTGCTTGTCAAACTACCAATACTGCTTTTTAAACCTGTCATCTTCCATGTTTCCTGTTACCCTGGTGTTTGTGCCATCTGTAAAAGCTGTTGGTAATGATCAGTCTTCAAAGTTTTGGTGAAAATTACATCAAGTTTGGCCAAACCCTGCAGAACCTGACAAAATTACCTACATTCAGTGAGGTAAGGCCAGATGCTCTTTGAGGTCCTGTGATGAATTACTATCAATCCATTTGATATCTCTGTACTGATAATAGTAAGGTGTCAAATGTTTGATCGGGTAAAAAAAGGCAAAAAGTCATAAACTTCACAAAATATAGTACAGCTCGACCTTTACTTTTAGCAGCCAAACCCTTGGTTTCGTACAAGAATTAAATCATACCAACTGAAAGTAATAGGGAACAGGTAATTCAGTTAGGTTGACTCTTCTGGAGCTTCATTCTTCATTTCAGAACAGTATTCTTTCCAAATATAATTTAATAAAATTAGAACAATAATTTAAAGCAAATTAACAAGTAATCTTTTGATGTTATCAAAATCTATTACTGATTTAAACCAATACATTGAATCAATTTCATTTTTGTATACTTTTTTTTTTTTTATATTTTCATTCTCGTTTGGAATGAATGATGGAAAAGATTTAAAAACAATCTGGAAAGGAGTTGATTTTATATAACATTTCTTAATAGAATCTTCCTGTTACATAAGATGCCCCTCACTCAATGAATATAAGAACAAAAATGTATTACTAGTTATATTTTTTCTTCAACATTAGACTAAGCAGAGGAATACAAGCTTTCTTTTTTCCCTTAGGAATGAATCTACATATCTGTGTCACAGGCTCTTGTTAAAACTGTTTTTCAATGTAGAAAATTATTCAGTTCACTGGAAGCTTGAAAGATAATTTTAAAAGAAATACAGGATTGGCTATTTAGGATCCTGATGATAGCAGCTGCTCTCAGTAAATGACTTCGGGAGCAATGGGAGTAAGGCACACACATAGAAAAAGTGAATCTGGAGTGGGTAAGAGACAGCATCTCCCAGAGTTTTTACCAGAGTATGTTTATGGTTTTGATAAGGGCAAATCCATAGTTAAAGTTGTAACTTTAGTCAGGAGACTTTTCTTCCCCTCCAGCTGTCACAAGAAAGTACCATTTTCTTTAAAGCCAGCACTAAATTTTAGAGAAATAAAGTCAGGAGGGAGGAGGAAGAAAGGAAAAAGACTTTTTGCTTCCAAGGACAAGTAATTTTATTTATCAACCTCAGCCAACTCTTTCAACTCCAGAAATATCTTCTAAGATCTCAGAGGTAAAGCTAATCTCAAAAGAAAAGCTTCGGGGTTGAGATAGATTATGATCATGCCAAGACACACATAGCTGTAAAACTTTACTCAGGTGAGGTCAGATAATTTCACCCCCTTTTTACAAACCCATTTCATGCCTCCTCTCTTCCCCCATAGTGGGAGGACTGCTTCCCACATAGTATCTGCATTTCCCACGTGCAAGGGGCAGCGTGACGCCCTCTCTCTCTCTTACTCTCTCCCCAGGAAAAGCAGCAGCCACAGCATTACATCCCATGTGCCAGGGCTCGGCGTGAGCGAGGCACTGACAGCCCACCCGGCTGGCGGCTGGCCTGACAGCGGATCCCCTGGGGCGGGTACACGTGCCTCACGAGCTGACCCGAACACGGGGAGAGCTCCTGCAAACCACCCACACCGTGAGAGACGACTGCAACGGGCGTGCGAAGAGTGCAGGTTGCACCGCATACTCAACACAGAGCTCTTTCTGCACATTAAAAATAACCACTCTCGATGTGCCCGAGGAGTATGGGGTGCTTACAATCGTCCTGGTCTTGCTCTGTTAGGATTTTTAGTGATCGGGCTTTGGCTTTTAAATCTAACTGTTGCTGTGTGTTTAAAGACAGCGAATACCAGTATCTCCGTTTTACACGTGAGGAAACCAAGTCACAGGGACATGAAGTGACCTTCTCAGGACAGGACAAAGTGTTGAAACCTGGTAGTAAAACCAAAAGAAGAATCCAGGTCTCCTGAGACATGATTTCACAGGCCATGCTGCCACCACCGTACTAAAGTACCATTCCCACCCTGCCTTCAACACAAATCTCTATTTACAGGACCTGTACCAAACTCAGCTACCTTTCTTTCAGGAGCTTGTACATGTCGTCAAAGTGCTGTTATTTTTCCCTCTGAGGGAACTCTGAGAGGGTTTCCCCTCTCAGCAGAAACATGCCCCCCCACAGCTGAAGGAGATTTCGGACACCCAGCACTCTGCACGCAGGCTGCTGAGATGCTGACTTGCTGGTGTCCATCAGCTTCTTCAGCAGCCCTTGTGCAGAAGTAGCAAAACTTCCCCTGAGGGGGTATTAAAGCAAGGAATAGGCCAAGGCCTGCCTACGCCACAACTTATGGCTGAATTTGAGCCTGTTTCTGAGGCATCTCAAGACTATCTGGAGTCTCCTGAATCTGCCACAGCATTGACACTTCAACAGTTTCACTGAAAGTCTCAGAACATAAGGGACCTTGTTTGTGTCACCCAAAAGGTGACTTAGTGTCAGCCCTGAAGTGGTCAGGCAGTTGGACTAGATGATTGATTGTCGGTTCCTTCCAGCTGATCTATTCTAAAAGTATCAGGTGTTGTTTAAACAAGCAAAGGGAGGAGGAGCCGTGCCTGCCTTGCCTGCCGGGGGGCAGAGGGGGCTAGGAGGAGGAGAGCACAGCTGGAATTCAAAGAGATGAGAAATGACAACAGGGGGCCTCACACAAACCCTGTGCTCAGCTGGGGGGTAAAGAAGAGGCACAGTCTGTCCCCATCCTCCTTTAAAGTTGTGGCAGCTGGAGGAGAGGCAACGTGGGATGGCTAGGGGACACGATCCCCCTCTCCCTTGCCGCCTTCTTCCACAAACTTCCCACAGATCCTGGCTTTCCACACAAAAGGACGTCACTGCAGGCTACATTTTTCAACAGGTCACGAAAATCCGTCTTGAGATGCAATGATGCAGAGAGTGAATGTGAGAGAAAGAGAGAGGGAGAATAGACGTTAGGACAAAAAAGAAGAAAATACACTTCTTGTATGAACATTTGGAATATTTCAGAATCATAAGAAATGCTTGAAACTGTAGGTTTTTGTATACATGCACTTCAGCTAATGATTCCAGCAGTGTTTAAAGCATTTGCCACAGAGAAAACCTAGGAGAGGGGGATACTGAAAAAAAGAAAAAAAATTTAAAAACAACAGGTGTTTTGTCATGCTTATTTATTTTTTTAATCATGTAATCGAGATGGACCAAGAGGAAACTGAAGCAAAAGGCTAATGTAGGAACCGGTAGGAGAATGAGCCATAGCTAGCTAGACCCTCACAAATATAATCTTAGGAGGGTAACAGAAGGAGAGAAAAAAGGAAATACGTATGCACCAGTACAATCCACACATGCTAACTTTTAGGCTCTGGTTAAATTTCAATTTATTTCCATTGCCCAGGCCAGTTAATCAACTATCATTCTTAGTGACTGATGGCTTAGAAAATCTCTGCCTTTGCAGCTATGTGTGTGTCAAGTATGGAGACTCTATTCTTGCAAGAGAAATACAAAAAGAAATGAAATTTCTACTCTGAATGAAGGGCAAAAGGGCATGCAGGGGTATAAAAATTACAGCATCACAAAGCTGGAGCAAACCAGTTTCTCCACATTGACCACAGGCATCTTAATTTATTGCACTGACTATTAAAGGGGATTTTGTTTCCGTTATTCAAGAGTATTCACCTGGTTGTAACTCATCTTTCGTAAAGCACCTCATCAACAACTTCACTGCTTCTAGTTAACTTCCCCCTGTATCAGGTCTGACAGTTTTTTCACCATCCTGCAATTGCTTGACCCTTACCATGCATACTTGACTAACAAGATCCCTTCCAATACCTCCAATACCAATACCCTTCCAATTTTTGTTTCTGTGTACAAGCTGATTTCATTTGAGCAATGAATACTCCACAATTTTTTTTCTCAGAATTTTTTGCAGCATTCAAATGGACTGTGAAGCAAGAGTCCAAAAAGTAGCATGATTTCAGTCCCCTTGGTTGCTCGTTATCACCCTGCTGATCTGTGCTGTCCAAACATTTTTATAAATTGCAAATGAAAAGGACAAAAAAAGAGAGAAATCATAGTGCAAGCTAAAATATACACCAATACACAAGTGTAAGTGCAAGTGTAAGTATTGGTGCCTTTCACTAGAGTGGTTTAATATGAAAAACTAACAAATACAGATATACAGATTTCTCCTGTTTCCTGAAAAACAATAGGAAATGTATTTCAGCATCAGCTTTGCTTTCTTCAATTCAACACCAACAACCAGAGTTAAACACCACTGGACAGAGAAACAACATCCCTTGCTTTACATTAAGCATGTCCACATATCTTTATTGTTTCTTTTTTTTCCCACCTTGTTAAATGAGCCACTGGGTGACAAGGCAGCAATGTATAAGTGTCCACACGACTAGACACATAAGCCATCCCTCCGGGATTCCTCACAGGGGAAAAAAGCTGCCTTGCAGAAGTTTCTTCCACTCGAGCTTCCCCTTGGATGCGAGCAGCCTCTCATCCCTAGAGGGCACCCGATCAACGCAGCTCCTGGGCACAAAGCGCCTTTCCCGCAGGCTGCAGGATTTATCACTTTTAAACAGCTTCCCCCTTCTGTCTCTAACTGCACATCCAGGCAAACCACTGGGACTGAAAAGGTTTGGGTCATTCCAGTTACTTTCTTCCAGCTCCTCATGTAAGCACTCCCAGAGAGCTTCCATGAACTAACCCCCTCTCTCCACTGCCAAATTTAGGGACAGCCATTTGCACCTCTTCCACCAAGTACTCCAAAGCCCCTTACCTTATGATGACAAACATGACCAGAGAGTTTCCCACCAAGCCGACAACGAAGACCACCGAGTAGACAGCAGTGATGATGATGGGGATGGCGGGGGAGATGCTGGTGTGGTTGTGCTGGGCGTCCCCAAAGGCCCCGGTGGCGTTGCTGTCGTAGTCCGCCCAGCCCAGGAGCCAGCTGCTGCTGGTGCTGGGGGGACGACAGGGCCCCGGGGAGCAGGTGGAGTCCGGCTCCTCCCGGAAAATCTGTACAGGGGCATCCATAGGGGCACAGCCCCCACGGGCAGGAGGGAGACCGGGAGGAGAGTGCGGACAGCAGGAGGCGAGTACGCTGGAAAGAGGGAAGAGAGGGAAAGAAACAGAAGTGCTATCACAGCCACCGGACTTTAAGGCCTCTGAAATTTGTATGTGTTAAGGGGAGCTCTGCTGTGATGGGAACTGTAATTTGCCAAGCAGAGATTTAAGCAAACCACATTCATATTAAATAATGGCAAGTTTTACATCTCGCTATGTAATGGGTAAGTGCTGCTCCTCCAGGTGCACAAGGAAAGTTTTCCTCCACTTTCAGAGATTGTACAGAGAAACAAATCAGATGGGAAACAGCTCAGATCCACCCCCACACTTTAACCCTGTCTTTCCCATTCTCCATATTTTAAGTCAAACTGTATCCTAATGACAGGGGCTCCTTACTGCCTAAGCTCTGCTTTAAAGTGGGGAGAGAGAAACCCACCACCTCTCTGCACATCTGCTTTGACATCCTGCCCTGAGTTATTTTTTTCCCAATCCCATATCTGCTTTCAAAGAGGAGACACATTAATGACACTAAATACCTCTTTCAGTCCAGGAAAAGGAGCGGAGTCCTCAGACAGATGTTCTTCGCAGGAGAAGAAAAAAATAAAGCAGCTCCGCTTGGCTCCTGGAAGTACCACCGACCTTCTAGGGCTTTTGAACCTGAGGCACCTGCGCCTTCGGAGAGGTGTGCTGGCAGCGGAGCCGATCCCCGGGCATGAGCTGCGATGTGGTAGCAGCAGTTGCTGCTGTTCCAGCTCCCACCACTTCGCCTTTTCCCTCTCAGGCTCCCTCTGGCTCCCTCTCGCTCTGCCAGGGCTCCAGCAGCACTCTGCACTGATGCACACGTTCTCCTCTGTCTCTGTCCCTGCAGCTCAGAAGCTCACATGACTTCTGTCTAAACACTGAGAGGCAGATAAATTAAAAGAAAAGCAAAAACATAAGTTCTGCAATGAATGAATGCTTATTTTTAACACACTTTTCCGAGTTGCCTTTCCTCATTCCCCCTGCGCTCCCAGGCGGAGGCCTTACTGAATCCCACACGCTTTTACAGAATAGTAGATGCTGAATAAAACAGAAATTTTCGGTTTAGATGCCTTGCCTGGTCCATCAGCTCTTTCGTGCCTCAGCTTCACAACTGTGCATGCAATACGCTTCTCGCTGCGGGGCTGTGCCCCTGTTCCTTTACACCTGCAACTTGGAGGAAAGTCAGAAGCTGGCTACCAAAACAGAGAGAGGCACCTCCATTACTGCCCTTAGTTTATTCAAGCTGTCCCACACCACGTGAGAAGCCAAGAATTCCCTGTAGCACTGCCGGAGCTCAGCTGTCCCCAGGCTCCAGCTGCAGCCAGGGATGGAGAGATGGTGTGTGCAGAAATGACATCCCTCAGAGCTTATCCCTAATATACTCCATCAAGCAGGGGCTGGGAACGCGCTAATCTGTGTTCAGGATATCCCTTAATTTGCACACAGACCTTGAAATCCCCATGATGACTCCCTCTAAATGGCAAACTGGGAGACGTGAGGCAAGACCCTGAGTTGCTCCCACTCCACTGGAAGAGGTGGGGAACAGCCAGGCTGGTTGCATCCCAAAGCGTGCAGCAGGAAAGCAGGTCTCTGCAGGGAATAGCAGACTGCCATGCCTCTCTGAGTATTTGGTGAGGCTTAGATGGCTAGGAAAGGGGCTGTGGGTTTCCTTCATCCTTTTCTAATGTTGAAACTTTACTTCATGCTCCTCTTGTTGAGTGTCTGTGACCAGGCTGCGGTTTCTATTTCTAAAACAATTTATTTTCTAAACCTATAATCAAGATGAGAAATTATGTCAGCTGTAGAGTCAAAAGTCATGTAGGAGGTTTAAAAGGTACAGAATCCCCTCTCTTAGAGGCAGAGGATTGTGCAAACATGGTGATGGCTTTGCCTGTGGTCACTGCTTTCTCCAGAACATCAGCACCTGCTCACTATCATCTGTCTAGAGCTGTCTAAAAGTTTCACCCTTAATGAAGATGGATAAAAATGCAAAATAGCAAACGTGACAAAAATACCCCCAAGCCAAATACATTTTAAGGATGGAACACAGACCTGGGACAATAATTTTTTGGAACATAAAGTGAGATCTTAACATAAAATGTACCCCAATCCTCTTTTTATCCTCTGCAGTCCATGGGCTCTTGCGGATGTACTGAAGGGAATTACTACTGCTATATCTTCTCATACATAGTTTTGGCAATTTTCAACTTCTTGTTAACATCTTCCCCGGACTTCTCCACATTCTGGAATTAAAACATACAGGAGAGCTTTAAGATAGCAATATTTTAGCATTCATTGATAATTTATCTCTTACGAGCAATCATTTTGTTTGGATAAGTACCTTAAATATGAGCATATACAGCCGCAAAATAATCAATAAAATGGATTCTAAGGGTTAGGCTGAAGTGAGGGAGAAAGAAGCAACAATTTGTCACTCTGCAATTGCTACAGGTGGATCAGAAACTTCTATATGGGGAAGTCTGTTATTGCTCTGCATAAATCTAAAGCACAGATGATGTAAAAAACTCAGTAAGATTAATAGCAGACTCAAAGCTTTTTCAAGCACCAGTGGTTGGACAGTAAGCTACTCTTTCTCTAGTTAATTCTGTGCTGAAACTCTCCAGTGATCTTAGAGCTAGCACAAAAAAGATGTGCTCACATCTTAGCTTCGGTCACTGACCCTTAATGGAGTGTGCATTGCAACTACATGGGACTGGAAGGAGGTGGAGTTTGACCACAACACTGCAAATTACAGGGTGAGCCAGAGGCAACATTTAAGTTGCCCAGTGCTTTCTGTCTGTGTGTGCTCCACGTTGGAGACTCAACTCTGGCTCTTGGTAGCTGTAGGTCTTTGCAATTCAGTAGAAAGAAAGCACGTGGGCTAGAGAAATGCCTTTTCTTCTGAAAGTCAAGTCAAATTCATATAAACTGTTAAAAATAATCTTTTCCTTTCTTGTGTTTGCTTCCTTGATGAAAACTTTAATATCTGGATTATCAGCAGTACCTGGTCTCACCGCAGGTACTGGAAACACCTACAATAATATCAACAGAAAACCCAAGGGCAGAGGAAGAACCATGCTCCATCACCATCTTCCTCTCCTTCAACATGTAACTGCTCAGTGCCCCTGTGCCCTTCCCAATAATCCCGCGGAAAAGGACAGGAGTCTCCTGAAGTCACGAGGGAAGAGAAAGAAAGGGTTTGCAGGTGACCTAAGCTGATCTGTCCACACACCGATGCCAGAAGTCCCTGTTCCCTCTGAGGCCTCCCGTTAGACAAAAGGCCCTGCTCTTTCAAGGAAAACCGAGGAAAGATTTAGGGAAGACAGACAGCGTAAAAGCACAGTCTCACCACTCAGCTACAACTTTCCTCCAGCATTGTTGTTACAAACCTGTGGCTCACATGCCTCCAATTTATTTCATGACAATGCTGTAGAGCCAGTATTCACCTCACTGGACTTCAGAAGATACAACAGAAAATACCTGGACTTTTTTCATTAAAAGTACAAAACTATATACCAAATTCTCTATTTAGGGAACATTGTTTAAGTTGTGAATTTTGGCCCTCAAAGGTAAAGAAATACCACATTCAGTTGTCTAATACCTAGGCACTACAATACATGTGCATTTACACTACCGTATTCTTTTTTTCCCTGGACTCTCTACTTCATTCACAGACAGCTACACAATATTGCTACATTTAAGTGGAAGGAGAACCATAAATTGGGAATTTTGTACCTGTAAAGTGTTTTCCTTTGCAATCCTAGTGAAATCCGTTGAATGAATAAGGAACATGGCGGCAGGGAGATATGTGATATTTAACAATAGCAGGTGGGGAGGGCTTCAGCGTTGTCTTTTTTATTACCAAAAGCTAAAGTGAAGAGCTGCCCCCATCAGCACACTGCTTCAAAACCTTAACAATGTGCTGGGACATTAATTCAGCCCTGACTCAGAAGTAAGAATGAACCGCACTGAATCACCGGCACGACTCTGTGTGGCACCCGCTCACTGTGCCGCAGCAGAGACCCAGCTCCGTCACTCCAGCACATGCAGGTTTCAAGTGAAAGCTGCTTAGTTGCCGACACTGTTTCCCTGAAGACTGTGACACTTTGTAGGTTTAAGTTACATTTTCAAAAGAGGGCAGACCTTGAAGTTCAGCCATTAATTGTGACACTGGGTACTTTGATAAGGGATCGTTTGCAGAGGTCACTTTTTATTCTAGAGGTTGGGAGGGAGGCAAGATGAGTTAAGTGGAGCAGGCTAGCATGATGCTTTTTTTCAGTTCATTATTGTTTTTACTACCTGATTGACCAAAGGCTACAATAATAGTGAACCTGAGTAAAGGGAGGAGATGCTGGAAATGCTTTCTGGTGGCTCCAGTTGCCAGGGAAACAAAGTTCTCCTGTCTCTCTGCATCCAGAAATGCTAGTTCTCTGTGTGAATGCAGCTCTCGGGAAATGGTGTATTTCATCCTCTTCGAAGACCAGCAAGGGAGAGGAAGGAGAAAAGGAGAGGCAGGAAAGTATATGTAATACTGTTTCCTCAACGCTTTTTGCACACATATTTTGGTCATAGCAGACTGTAAATATTCAATGTAAGACTTGTGCTTTGGTTTTTACTTGTAGATGGCAGAAGTTCGTGTTACATTTTAAAATAAATTGCTAGTCTCCGTTGTCACCTTCAGACACCAACCCAATGAGACCCTGAGCATCGGGACAGCCTCTGTGGCCTGTCCCAGGACCCATCCATCTTCCAAGGGAAAGTCCTTGGGAGGGTAGGGGGGGACTAGCCACCCTAAACTGCCAGCTGCAGGGAGGCACTGGGCGGGTGTTGAAAGGTTTCTGACCCTGGGACTTTAAAAAGGAGGGGTGTCGTACAGACAGGAGCTAACTGGCAGCAAGGAGGTCGGTGGCTAGGATTAAAGAGTTCCGCAGGTTACAACAGGAGGCCATCTGC